CGTGAGAGTGATACGTACTAACCTAGCGTGAGAATGATACGCACTAACCTAGCGTGAGGGTGATACGTACTAACCTAGCGTAAGAGTGATAGGTACTAACCTAGCGTGAGAATGATACGCACTAACCTAGTGTGAGGGTGATACGTACTAACCTAGCGTGAGAGTGATACGTACTAACCTAGCGTGAGAATGATATGTACGCACCTAGCGTGAGAATGATACGTGCTAACCTAGCGTGAGAGTGATACGTGCTAACCTAGCGTGAGAGTGATACGTGCTAACCTAGCGTAAGAGTGATACGTGCTAACCTAGCGTGAGGGTGATACGTACTAACCTAGCGTGAGAGTGATACGCACTAACCTAGTGTGAGGGTGATACGTACTAACCTAGCGCGAGAGTGATACGTACGTACCTAGCGTGAGAGTGATACGTACTAACCTAGCGTGAGAATGATACATGCTAACCTAGCGTGAGAGTGATACGTATGTACCTAGCGTGAGAGTGATACGTACGTACCTAACGTGAGAGTGATATGTACTAACCTAGCGTGAGAGTGATACGTACGTACCTAGCGTGAGAGTGATATGTACTAACCTAGCGTGAGAGTGATACGTACTTACCTAGCGTGAGAGTGATATGTACTAACCTAGCGTGAGAATGATACGTACTAACCTAGCGTGAGACTGATACGTAAGTACCTAGCGTGAGAGTGATATGTACTAACCTAGCGTGAGAATGATACATGCTAACCTAGCGTGAGAGTGATACGTACGTACCTAGCGTGAGAATGATACGTACTAACCTAGCGTGAGAATGATACGTACTAACTTAGCGTGAGGGTGATACGCACTAACCTAGGGTGAGGGTGATACGTACTAACCTAGCGTGAGAGTGATACGTACTAACCTAGCGTGAGAGTGATACGTACGTACCTAGCGTGAGAATGATACGTACTTACCTAGCGCGTGAGTGTGTACGTACGTACCTAGCGCGTGAGAATGATACATACTAACCTAGCGTGAGAATGATACGTACGCACCTAGCGTGAGGGTGATACGTACAAACCTAGCGTGAGAGTGATACGTACGTACCTAGCGTGAGAGTGATACGTACGTACCTAGCGTGAGAGTGATACGTACTAACCTAGCGTGAGAGTGATACGTACGTACCTAGTGTGAGAGTGATATTTACGTATCTAGCGTGAGAGTGATACGTACTAACCTAGTGTGAGAGTGATACGTACTAACCTAGCGTGAGAGTGATACGTACTAACCTAGCGTGAGAGTGATACGTACGTACCTAGCGCGTGAGAGTGATACGTACTAACCTAGCGTGAGAGTGATACGTACTAACCTAGTGTGAGAGTGATAGGTACTATCCTAGTGTGAGAGTGATACGTACTAACTTAGCATGAGAGTGATACATACGTACCTAGCGCGTGAGAGTGATACGTACTAACCTAGCGTGAGAGTGATACGTACTAACCTAGCGTGAGAGTGATATGTACTTACCTAGCGTGAGAATGATACGTGCTAACCTAGCGTGAGAGTGATACGTACGTACCTAGCGCGTGAGCGTGTACGTAGTAACGTAGCGTGAGAGTGACACGTACGTACCTAGCGTGAGAGTGATACGTACGTACCTAGCGTGAGAATGATACATACTAACCTAGCGTGAGAATGATACGCACTAACCTAGCGTGAGAGTGATACGTACTAACCTAGCGTGAGAATGATACGCACTAACCTAGCGTGAGGGTGATACGTACTAACCTAGCGTAAGAGTGATACGTACTAACCTAGCGTGAGAATGATACGCACTAACCTAGTGTGAGGGTGATACGTACTAACCTGGCGTGAGAGTGATACGTACTAACCTAGCGTGAGAATGATATGTACGCACCTAGCGTGAGAATGATACGTGCTAACCTAGCGTGAGAGTGATACGTGCTAACCTAGCGTGAGAGTGATACGTGCTAACCTAGCGTAAGAGTGATACGTGCTAACCTAGCGTGAGGGTGATACGTACTAACCTAGCGTGAGAGTGATACGCACTAACCTAGTGTGAGGGTGATACGTACTAACCTAGCGCGAGAGTGATACGTACGTACCTAGCGTGAGAGTGATACGTACTAACCTAGCGTGAGAATGATACATGCTAACCTAGCGTGAGAGTGATACGTATGTACCTAGCGTGAGAGTGATACGTACGTACCTAACGTGAGAGTGATATGTACTAACCTAGCGTGAGAGTGATACGTACGTACCTAGCGTGAGAGTGATATGTACTAACCTAGCGTGAGAGTGATACGTACGTACCTAGCGTGAGAGTGATATGTACTAACCTAGCGTGAGAATGATACGTACTAACCTAGCGTGAGACTGATACGTAAGTACCTAGCGTGAGAGTGATATGTACTAACCTAGCGTGAGAATGATACATGCTAACCTAGCGTGAGAGTGATACGTACGTACCTAGCGTGAGAATGATACGTACTAACCTAGCGTGAGAATGATACGTACTAACTTAGCGTGAGGGTGATACGCACTAACCTAGGGTGAGGGTGATATGTACTAACCTAGCGTGAGAGTGATACGTACTAACCTAGCGTGAGAGTGATACGTACGTACCTAGCGTGAGAATGATACGTACTTACCTAGCGCGTGAGTGTGTACGTACGTACCTAGCGCGTGAGAATGATACATACTAACCTAGCGTGAGAATGATACGTACGCACCTAGCGTGAGGGTGATACGTACAAACCTAGCGTGAGAGTGATACGTACGTACCTAGCGTGAGAGTGATACGTACGTACCTAGCGTGAGAGTGATACGTACTAACCTAGCGTGAGAGTGATACGTACGTACCTAGTGTGAGAGTGATATTTACGTATCTAGCGTGAGAGTGATACGTACTAACCTAGTGTGAGAGTGATACGTACTAACCTAGCGTGAGAGTGATACGTACTAACCTAGCGTGAGAGTGATACGTACGTACCTAGCGCGTGAGAGTGATACGTACTAACCTAGCGTGAGAGTGATACGTACTAACCTAGTGTGAGAGTGATAGGTACTATCCTAGTGTGAGAGTGATACGTACTAACTTAGCATGAGAGTGATACATACGTACCTAGCGCGTGAGAGTGATACGTACTAACCTAGCGTGAGAGTGATACGTACTAACCTAGCGTGAGAGTGATACGTACTTACCTAGCGTGAGAATGATACGTGCTAACCTAGCGTGAGAGTGATACGTACGTACCTAGCGCGTGAGCGTGTACGTAGTAACGTAGCGTGAGAGTGACACGTACGTACCTAGCGTGAGAGTGATACGTACGTACCTAGCGTGAGAATGATACATACTAACCTAGCGTGAGAATGATACGCACTAACCTAGCGTGAGAGTGATACGTACTAACCTAGCGTGAGAATGATACGCACTAACCTAGCGTGAGGGTGATACGTACTAACCTAGCGTAAGAGTGATACGTACTAACCTAGCGTGAGAATGATACTGCACTAACCTAGTGTGAGGGTGATACGTACTAACCTGGCGTGAGAGTGATACGTACTAACCTAGCGTGAGAATGATATGTACGCACCTAGCGTGAGAATGATACGTGCTAACCTAGCGTGAGAGTGATACGTGCTAACCTAGCGTGAGAGTGATACGTGCTAACCTAGCGTAAGAGTGATACGTGCTAACCTAGCGTGAGGGTGATACGTACTAACCTAGCGTGAGAGTGATACGCACTAACCTAGTGTGAGGGTGATACGTACTAACCTAGCGCGAGAGTGATACGTACGTACCTAGCGTGAGAGTGATACGTACTAACCTAGCGTGAGAATGATACATGCTAACCTAGCGTGAGAGTGATACGTACTTACCTAGCGCGAGAATGATACGTGCTAACCTAGCGTGAGAGTGATACGTACGTACCTAGCGTGAGAGTGATACGTACTAACCTAGCGTGAGAGTGATACGTACTAACCTAGCGTGAGAATGATATGTGCTAACCTAGCGTGAGAGTGATACGTGCTAACCTAGCGTGAGAGTGATACGTACGTACCTAGCGTGAGAGTGATACGTACTAACCTAGCGTGAGAGTGATACGTACTAACCTAGCGTGAGAGTGATACGTACTAACCTAGCGCGAGAGTGATACGTACTAACCTAGCGTGAGAGTGATACGTACTTACCTAGCGTGAGAGTGATACGTACTTACCTAGCGTGAGAATGATACGTACTAACCTAGCGTGAGAGTGATACGTACGTACCTAGCGCGTGAGCGTGTACGTACGGAGCGCTGTGTCGCGTCGCCCCGCGTGGTGTGGCGACCACTTGGGGAGTGGCTTTCATCCGGCGGTGTCAACCGGGGGGGGGGGGGGGGGGGGGGGGGGGGGGGGGGGGGGGTGGGACGAGGGCTTAAAATTAAGATTGTTTCTGTTCCACCACGGTGGCGGCAGCTGTGTTGGCGGTGGCTACCTGCAATCAGAGACGGTATCCTTCTCGGGGACCAGGCTCGGGGCGTTTCCTCCTCGCTCGTCTGCTGGGGAACGAGAAAAATCTACGCGGAACGTTGCGACAAATGGAACACGCGAACACGAACACAAACACATGCGCCGCCGTTGGCACGTGCAAAGTAGAGCAACGGTTAACAAATCTATAACAAGTATATAGATACAAACACCAATACCTTGTTTGTGTATCTTACCGGGTAAGCCCCCCACTGTGCTACTACGTGACTTGTTTAGTAGAAGCTACGCCGGCTATCACAAGTGACAGCTGAACTCAGTGGCTTATTGTCGTCGTCATCGTCGTCGTTATCATCGTCGACGACATCATCATCGTCGTCGTCATCATCATCGTCATCGTTGTCATCATCGTCGTCATTGTCGTCATCATCACCGTCGTCATCATCGTCATCATCGTCGTCATCATCGTCATTTTCCTCGTCGTCATCGTCATCGTCGTCATCATCGTCATCGTCATCATCGTCGTCATCGGGTGGCAAATAAAGAGCAGCAGCCAAATGGCTCTGAACGCGTAAACGCAGGAAGTGTCAGGGTCGGGATAGAACCCATGACCTCCTGCGCACCAGGCGAGGTAGTTAACATCTCATAGCCACCGTGATGATGATGATGAGGGAGACACCGCAAACTCCAAATATATAGGTGTCAGGGGCGGGGATGTAACCCACGGACTCCTGTGTACCAGGCGAGGTCGTCAACATCTCAGCCATTGTGATGATGATCATGAGAGACACCGCAAACTTTAAATAAACAGCGGCAGCAGCAGGCGTCGTCAGAGTCTGGATCCAACCCACGACCTCCCAAGCACGAAGCGAGGCAGTCAACATCTCCGTAGCCACCGCAACGCCACCGCCGCTCACCGGGACGCTTGCCGGCGCTCTCTCTGCCCCACACGGTGCACATCAGGAAGGGGAGGATCGCCAGCACCGTTATGACCGACAGGAAGCTGATGGAGGCGCTGCTACTGCCGCTGGAGGGGAGCGTCGCCTTGTCTCCCGTAGACACCCCGGACGAGGGTGGGGAGGAGCGGGAGGTGGTAGTGGTGGTGGTGGCTACGAGATTGGGGAGGCACGGGGAGATACGGGGAGACACGGGTAGAAATGGGGAGACGTAGAGACACGGGGAAACAGAGAGAAAAAGTGAGACAGATACAGACAGCGAGACACAGACAGACAAACACAGACAGATTGCATAGCTGAGCGGTGTTGTTGGATGAAGTTCGTGAGGAGGAGGATTTGGTCTTCATCAATTCTGTGTCTGTCTGTGTCTATGTCTTTGTGTATCTGTGTCTGTCTATGGCTTTTATGACCTCCTGTCACAGGTGCTAGCAAAAGTGGCCACTCGGGATAGAGTCATCCCGTTGGGCGACTTCAATGCGCGAGGCACCTGGTCTGGAGTGATTGGAAGGCGTGGGCCAGATCAGCTCAATAACAACGGCAGGAGGCCGCTAGATTTTTGTGCAGCCCATGGGCTTGTAATTACCAACACGCTGTTCCGGCATCGGCGCATCCGCACAACATCACGGATGGATGCCGAGTCCAAGCAAGAACCATCTGCCGGACTACGTAGTGGATGCAACAGCGGATGTGAGCCCGTGCCCTTGAGACCAGAACCTGCCGTGGAGCCGATCTGGACAATGACCATCGGCTAGTCATCTGTAAGATGTGCCTGCCATTCTTCCACTCCGGCGGTGGGTGTACACCCAGGAGCCCATTCCAACCTAAAGTGGCCTGGTCTCAGCCGTGCACCCCAAGGGACGGACACTAAAATGGTTGATGGGCGTGCAGTCCACGACCCCTTGCGGAGCTCCGCGGTGGGAACTTTGGGCGGCACGCGGGGGGGGGGGGAAGGGGGGGCACTCAAGCAAAGGGCGACTGCTAAAAATGCAGACGGGGAAAATTAACCAGATGGAGACGAAAATGATTTCACGGCCCAAGTTGGCGTGGGTGTTCATCCCAGAGCCGCGTCAATTATCATTTGGCATGACACGAGAGAGAGGAGCGGTGCAGCAAGCCGACAGGGAAGGACTCGGGCCAGACGCGACCGTTAGCTGCGAAGACGCCAAGATCAGGAGGGAAAACACTCGGGAGCCACGTCGGAGCATCGGCGCGGCCGGCACGGCTACGGCGCGGCCGGCACGGCTACGGTGCGGCCGGCCGGGAACACGGCGCCCCCCCCCCCTGACGTACCATCGTCGCGCGTGCGAGCCTGGACGGGCGGCGACGAGGGCCCCGGGCTGGCCCCCGTGTAGGCCCGCACCGTCACCTCGTAGGGGGCCCACCTGGTCAGCCCGTGCAGCGTCACGCTCCTCCGGTACGCGGGCTGACGCGGCGTCCGGCGCCAGCCGCCCCCCCGGCTCGGCCGCCTTCCCGAGCCGTCCCCTTCCTCGTCCCCTTGGTGGTGGTCCCCTTGGTCGTAGTCCCCTTGGTGGTCCCCTTGGTGGTCCCCTTGGTCATCGTCATCCCCTTGGTCATCGTCCCCTTCTTCTTCGTCGTCGTCGTCGTCCCCATCCCCCGAGCCGTCGTCTGCGTCTGCTGCGTGCGCCACGCCTTGGCTGGGCAGCTCCCTGTAGGCCACCGTGTACCCCGTGACGCCGCCGCCGCCGCCGTCTTGCTGGCCGTGAGCGGGTGGCGGCTCCCAGCTGACCAGCAGGCTGCTGGAGTTGAGGGCCACGCACGTGATGTTCTGTGGGGGCGCGGAGGGGGCTGTGGGTCGGGTTGGGATTGCGGTGGAGGTGACGGAGTGGGGGGGTGGGGGGGGGGTCACCGTGAGTCGTGGTAATTGGGAGAAACATCAGAAACCACCGCAACTTGTGAAAACAATGAGAATGACGCAGGGGGTGAAAAATTCAAGTTAGTCAATGGCTGAACCCCCCCAGACCTGCAAGCTAGTCAATGACTAACTTTAATGACTTCAATGACTAACTTCAATGACTAACAATGACTAACTTGCAGGTCTGGGGGGGAGGGTGGTGCTCAACTTTGTTGTTGTTGTTAAGGAGACGCCTTGAATTAGTGACTGCGAACATTCAATTAGCACCGCCATTGGATTCCCCACGACCTAACAAAAGAGCAAAAGCGGGAGCTTTACAATTCCAACGATGTGAAAACACAAACACATTAACACCACCGTAGGCGTGGTGACAACAACAACTCTCGTTAGGGACGTTAATAAATTAGTGGTGAAAAAAAGTTCCTTGAAAGCTCAATGAAAATTCCAAGTAAAATGCCATCATCATTAAAACCTTCCGGTTATCTGTGAAGTACCGTGAATGACACAAATACATTCAGCTGGCAGGGTAGCCGTGACATTCACATCCCTCTAACAGTCCCACAGAGGCCGCGTGCCCTGCAGTTAACTACACAGACACAATTAACAATCAACAGGGCACGTCACCACACAATAATAATTGGATCCTGTAACAATGACAATGGATCTCTCTCCCCTCCCCCCACACACACACATCCCCTCCCCCCACTCACCACATCCCCTCCCCCCACACACACATCCCCACACACACCCCCCCCACACACACATCCCCCCCCACACACACACATCCCCTCCCCACACACACACACACATCCCCTCCCCCCCCACACACATCCCCCCCCACACACACACACACATCCCCTCCCCATACACACACACATCCCCACACACACACAAATCCCCCCACACACACACACACATCCCCCCACACACACATCCCCTCCCCCCCCACACACATCCCCCCCCACACACACCACACACACATACATCCCCCACACACACACATCCCCTCCCCCACACACCACACACACACACATCCCCCCACACAGACGAATCAATAGGAGTAATGAGTGTCACACACAGTGCTGGTACTTGTTGTGTACGTGTTAGTGCGGTGTGTTCGTTTAAAGTTCTGTAGCGTCACGATGTGGCTTACTGGGGCTGACGAACACAACAAAATGAAGAAACAAAACTCTCTTTTTTGGTTCTTTTGGTAAAGTCACCACGTAGAATGAGAATAAAATAATAAATTGATCAAATAAAATAACACAGTAAAATTCTCACGACGTTTCGGCTACAACACAAGTGGCCTTCATCAGCGCTGTCCTCCAGACAGTCTCGTCCCTTCACCTGATGAAGGCCGCTTGTGTTGTGGCCGAAACGTCGTGAGAATTTTACTGTGTTATTTTATTTTATCAATTTATTATTTTATTCTCATTCTACGTGGTGGTGACTATACCGAAAGAACCAAAGAAGATGAATCCTTGCAGTCACGAAAGCTTTAAATCGAAACAGAACACTGGGGCTGACGAACACAACAAAATGAGTAAACAAAACTCTTTCTGTTAATGAGGTATTAAAGCTGTCGTGACCGCGATAAAATTACTCGTTGTGGTGTTTTTGTCGGTAAAGTCACGTGTGTAGAAGTACAATAAAATTATATTAAAACAAATCACAATCACGACGTTTCGATCACAACGCAAGCAGATCAACGCATTGACAAGCATCGATTACCAATCAACGCATTGACACACATCGATTACCAATCAACGCATTGACAAGCATCGATTACCAATCAACGCATTGACACACATCGATTACCAATCAACGCATTGACGAGCATCGATTACCAATCAACGCACTGACAAGCATCGATTACCAATCACGCATTGACAAGCATCGATTACCAATCAATGCACTGACAAACATCGATTACCAATCAACGCATTGAAGAGCATCGATTACCAATCAATGCACTGACAAACATCGATTACCAATCAACGCATTGACACACATCGATTACCAATCAACGCATTGACAAACATCGATTACCAATCAACGCATTGACACACATCGATTACCAATCAACGCATTGACAAGCATCGATTACCAATCAACGCATTGGCAAGCATCGATTACCAATCAACGCACTGACACACATCGATTACCAATCAACGCATTGACAAACATCGATTACCAATCAACGCATTGACACACATCGATTACCAATCAATGCATTGACAAGCATCGATTACCAATCAACGCATTGGCAAGCATCGATTACCAATCAACGCATTGACAAGCATCGATTACCAATCAACGCATTGGCAAGCATCGATTACCAATCAACGCACTGACACACATCGATTACCAATCAACGCATTGGCAAGCATCGATTACCAATCAACGCATTGACGAGCATCGATTACCAATCAACGTACTGACACACATCGATTACCAATCAACGCACTGACACACATCGATTACCAATCAACGCATTGACGAGCATCGATTACCAATCAACGCACTGACCCACATCGATTACCAATCAACGCACTGACACACATCGATTACCAATCAACGCATTGACACACATCGATTACCAATCAACGCACTGACACACATCGATTACCAATCAACGCATTGACAAACATCGATTACCAATCAACGCATTGACACACATCGATTACCAATCAACGCATTGACAAGCATCGATTACCAATCAACGCATTGGCAAGCATCGATTACCAATCAACGCATTGACAAGCATCGATTACCAATCAACGCATTGGCAAGCATCGATTACCAATCAACGCACTGACACACATCGATTACCAATCAACGCATTGACAAGCATCGATTACCAATCAACGCATTGACGAGCATCGATTACCAATCAACGCACTGACACACATCGATTACCAATCAACGCACTGACACACATCGATTACCAATCAACGCATTGACACACATCGATTACCAATCAACGCACTGACACACATCGATTACCAATCAACGCATTGACACACATCGATTACCAATCAACGCATTGACAAGCATCGATTACCAATCAACGCATTGACACACATCGATTACCAATCAACGTACTGACACACATCGATTACCAATCAACGCACTGACACACATCGATTACCAATCAACGCATTGACACAAATCGATTACCAATCAACGCATTGACACACATCGATTACCAATCAACGCATTGACACACATCGATTACCAATCAACGTACTGACACACATCGATTACCAATCAACGCACTGACACACATCGATTACCAATCAACGCACTGACACACATCGATTACCAATCAACGCACTGACACACATCGATTACCAATCAACGCACTGACACACATCGATTACCAATCAACGCATTGACACACATCGATTACCAATCAACGCATTGGCAAGCATCGATTACCAATCAACGCATTGACGAGCATCAATTACCAATCAACGCATTGACACACATCGATTACCAATCAACGCACTGACGCCCCTCCCCCACCCATAACACAGCTTGATGAGCTAACGAGTAACTCTGTGTGTGACGCCACTTTGTGATCCTATGTTGTAAGAGTTTTATTATACTTGGTTCTTTCGGTTAAGTCACCACGTAGAAGGGAAATAATAAAATAATAAAAACATAATAGGCGAGAATTTTGTTTTATTGTTTTATTATTTTATTGTTTCCCTTCTACGTGGTGACTTTACCGAAACAACCGAGAAGATGAATCCTTGCACAGTCACGAAAGCTTTAAGTCTAAATGTTATTTTATAATTGCTTATGCCTCAAAACGTTGCTGTTGTGACGAGGACTTCACGTGAAGGGATGACACAAATAGACACCGCCTTTCCTTATTGTGAGAATATATAAATTACAAAAATATCACTCACCTCCTCCTGCTGCTGTTGCTCCTGCTGCTGCTCCTGCTGCTGCTGCTGTACCCGTGGCGTCGGTCTCTACACCGGCACAGGCGACGAGACCGACACAGCACGCGACACAGAGCCCCACGGGCACCAACAACGACGACGATCCCCGCAGCTCCGCCATCATCGTCCTCGTCAAATCCTCCTCCTCAGTGAGCCTCGCCACGAGGCCTCGCTCTGTCTCCTCGTTGCCTGTCACGTGGCTCGCTAGCAGACACGGGGAGGGGGGGGGTGAGGTGGGGGAGTGACGTGTGGGGGGGAGGGTGATGGGGCGTGGCTAACAAGGCTTGGGGAGGAGGGTGTGGGGGGGAGAGTGACGTGTGTGGGGGGGAGGGTGACGGGGCGTGGCTAACAAGGCTAGGGGAGGGGGGGGTGACGTGTGTGTGGGGGAGGGTGATGGGGCGTGGCTAACAGCCTTGGGGAGGAGGGTGTGGGGGGGGGGGAGTGACGTGTGTGGGGGGGAGGGTGATGGGGCGTGGCTAACAGGCTTGGGGAGGGGGGGGATAGGTCATAGTTCAGTTATTTGGTATAGCCCTGTGAGCCATTCGGCTCTTGAATCGGGTGCAACCGCAACAAACAAAAAACTAAAACATGAACAAGAAAACATCTTGAAGTGACTTTGTGTGACTGTGCAAACATAAAATCCAGGGAAAAACAGCAAAATATTCCACAAAAAGCACCGTACACCAACGCTGTGTGCACATAGCATGCGACGTTTCAATTGCAACACAAGCAATCATCATCAGGTACAAATGCAAGAGAAAACAAACCTAGTGAACTTAGAAATGTAATGCAATACAACACAGAGAGTCGGCCAACATAACAGTCAACACCCCACCTGGTTGATCACGTTCTTCCAAAGGTTGCTCAATTTGAAAGAGAGACAAAACACAGACACGGAGACACACAGACAGAGAGAGAGATATAACACAGAGACACACAGAGAGAGATACAAACATACAGTGAGGGAAACAAGTATTTGATCCCCTGCTGATTTTGTACGTTTGCCCACTGACAAAGAAATTATCAGTCTATAATGTTAATGGTAGGTTTATTTGAACAGTGAGAGACAGAATAACAAGGCCGTAGCCATGGAGTCAACATTGGGGGGGGACCAAACCTACCAGGGGGTCTGGGGTCCGCCCCCCAGAAAGAAAAAATCTAAATTTTAAAACTAATTTCCTGACATTTCCTAAAATATTGAAAAATTTCACTAACACATGGGATGGAATTTGTATTATTTGATACAATATTGTATAATATTGTATTGTATTACATTGCTCTGTGTTGTTTCTTTTTTAACTTTTCTTGTTTCATAGTATGTAATGGCAGAGATTAGGGATTCATAAAGTACAACGCAATCATATAAACACAAATCTACGCATTGTTATATGAAGACACGTCCTGGTTTTGTGGCCAAGGTTAAGCGAAATTGTTTTTATTAACATAGCATAGCAATTATTGTTAAAAAAAATATTTTTATAGCAATATATTGGGGGTACATTTTGAGCATATTTGATTATTGTGGGGGGATATGTCCCCCACCAATATATATTATAATTATTATAACATATTATAATTATTATAATATATTATAATTACGGCCTTGTGTCAATGAGAGATTTCGAACTTTGGTGACTGCAGGAAATAATAATAACACGAGGACACGCAGAGAGAGAGAGAAAGCACACTTATATTCTTGGTTCTGTCGGTAAAGTCACCACGTAGAAGGGAAACAATAAAATAATAAAAATATAAAACAACAAAATTCTCACGTTTCGACTGCAACACAAGCAATCATCATCAGGTGTGAAAGCCACGGCAAGAAAATTTGAAAACCACAGAAAGAAAATTTCAAAATGTTCTTGCTGATGGTTTTCACACCTGATGATGATTGCTTGTGCTGCAGTTGAAACGTCGTGATAATTTTATTGTTTTATATATTTTTATTATTTTATTGTTTCCCTTCTACGTGGTCGTGACTTTACCGAAAGAACCAAGAATATGAATCCCTGCAGTCAAGAAAGCTTTAAATCAAAAGCACACTTAATCAAATAAACTGAGTAAAACTTGGAAATGTAATGCAATGCAACACAGAAAGTCGGTCAACACACAATAAACGAATAGCCTGGTAGATTACTTTCTTACAAAGATTGCTCAACTAAGCGAGATAATTAAAGTAAATGCAATCAGGCGAGGGCAGGAGGCAAGGCCCCGCGTGGCTAGGCCCCACGTTGTAAAGTTCCAACCTGGACATCGATTCCCATGCTCGCTGCTACTCAACTGACATCCCTACGAGAGAGAGCGAGGCTCTACCTTGGTAAACAACAACAACAACCACCACCACCACAACGACCACCACCACAACCGCGATGAGAATTTCTCACCTCGGATTTCAGTTCACGCGCGGAGCGGCAGATTTCTGTCACCTCGTGACGTCACGCGGCAGCAGGAGATGACGTCACTTGGGTGGTACAAGAACACTCCCCTCCCGCAGCGAGCGGGTCCTAATTTAAATAAATTATGTTAATGAGCCCGGCCCATACGTGGAGGGATGGGGCGTGGGTGCTGAAACCCGTCGCAATAAACTCGCGACGGCCTTCACGAATACATTATGTTAATGAACCGCAAGTCACCGGGCGTAGCTTTTCCCAAATAAGGATTGTACTTGAACAAATAACGGAAGTTGACCCAGGCAAAGGTGACGTCACGCTCAAGGGCGCGGTAGACGGGGTGGGGTGAATACCTTGGTGACATGACGTCCCTAGCGAGGTACACCTCCCCCTGGCGTTTCACGCCGATGAGGTGTGCTGAGTAGTGACGTCACAGAGCGGGGTTGGAGTTTAAGTTGATTTAGATTCATTTTCCATTGCTCCCTCCCTTGAACTCAGCAACAACAACAACGTGGACATTGCATCCCACTGGGATTTTTAGCACACAGCGTTGGTGTACGGTGCTTTTTTCAGGAATATTTTGCTAGTTTTTATTCACTTTAAGATGTGTTTCTTTTTCTGTTTTCAGAGTCACACAAAGTCACTTTAAGATGTGTTTCTTGTTCGTGTTTGTGGTGGTTGCACTTGATTCAAGAGCCGAATGGCTCACAGGGGTATACCAAAATATATAAACTTAAATTATTGTGTACACACTGTGTGTGTACACACTGTGTACGTACACGCTGTGTGTGTGCACTGTGTGTGTACACGTACACACTGTGTGTGTACAGTGTGTGTGTACACTGTGTGTGTGTACATGTACAGACTGTGTGTGTGTGTACACTGTGTGTGTGTACAGTGAATGTACACTGTGTGTGTACACTGTGTGTGTACACGTACACAGTGTGTGTACACTGTGTGTGTGCACTGTGTGTGTGTGCACTGTGTGTGTACACTGTGTGTGTGTACACTGTGTGTGTACACTGTGTGTGTGTACACTGTGTGTGCACTGTGTGTGTGTACACTGTGTGTGCACTGTGTGTGTGTACACTGTGTGTGTGTACACTGTGTGTGTGTACACTGTGGGGGGCACAGTCATCTCAGTCGACCAATGGGCATCTTTTCATCAATTTATTATTTTCAAATTTTCTTGTTTTTTGTTTTCTATTTACGTGACTTTACCGAAAGAACCAAGAATGTGGTAGCACATTCTCTATTTATTGCAGAGGTTCAGGGTTAAAATCCGACAGGCACACCTGGCTACCCCAGTAACATTCACCACAATATGCGCAGTCTGCTGAACGGCAGATGTAAAACATAACGTTGTGTCATTCACAACGCACATTGCATGTTGTTGTCACGGTCAAAATTGGGTTAATTCCAAACATTATCCAGAAACTCCACAACGGAGACACGCACCCCCTGTACCAACGACGGAGTCGCAGGGACAGACGCTCGATAACGTTGGAATCGATCTGCAGATGGCCAGCAGCTCCGTGTCACCTTATCTCGATCCCGCAATCCCAACCAGGTGAAAGTCCGCATCGAACCGAACCCCCGGCAAGGCCATTGTCTACTTAACGACGAGAGAAAATTCACACGAAATGTCGTTTTCAATTAATAAGCTTTTAATGAAGAAATACAATTATACAATTCAAGACATAATACAATTAAAAGTTGTTTCATTTTCAAACTTCAAGACGGAGCATCGGGAGCTTGCGTGGAGGCGTCGTTCGTGTGCAATTTTTTTCGTGACTTTCCTGGCCCAAGGCCGCAAATGGTTGAGGGGCGCCGCAGGTGGTCAGGTTCGCTTCAACCCTTGGTCGTGAACATCCAGACGTGAATCAGCAAGGGGCATTTCATGTCCTAGTTCGACAAAATCTACGTCATCACGTAAGACAAAACTGCAATTCGTGTTGTAGAGAATGAACCTCCTCCTCTACGTGTAACTTTTAAGCGGTGTGCCATGTAACTGATTAATGATCAGAGTATGCTCCTTATTTCAAAGACGATGAGTTGCTCCAGAGGGAGATGCTTCCTGAAAACACAAAAATACCCTTTGACCTGTATCACAAGAACAATGAGTCTCACCCGAGTTATCGGTACAGGTTACTTCCAAAACACACACTTTGTCCAAATATCACTTATTCAATGTTTGACCCTTATAGACAAAATGTTACATGTACGCACACAATCGGACAAGTATTAATTCTAAATTATTGACAGGCATATTAACAAAATTTAATTACTGCACTGAAATATACTGCATCAGGTTACATCGCATTGACAAGAAGCTATTTAAAAAAATACGCACCGTCTGCTTAACAGTGTATGTACAACAAACTATTGTAGTGTCATTCAAAACGAGTAGGCCATTGCATGCTGGCGTCTGGGTCAAAATTTATCAAATTCTAAACATTACCTACAAACTCCACAACTAAGATGCCACATCAATCATCGCCCCCTACTGACAGGCTCTTGTCCACATGCAGGCCGGTGCAGGGCCACCACCTTGTGCCACGCAGGGGCAGCTGCTACTTGGGGATGCTCTTCAAGTGTCTGAGACGAGATACAAAACTCCGAATTGCCAGAGGCGATTAAGCAAGCACCCATATAAGTGGAATTATTAAATAACAAAAATCACGACGTTTTGGCCACAACACAAGTGGCCTTCATCAGGTGAAGGGACCGTGCTGTCATGATGAAGGCCACGTGTGTTGTGGCCGAAACATCGTGATTTTTGTTATTTTATCTTTTTACCTACGTGACTTTGCCGAATAGAACCAAAGAGTATGGATCCTTGCAGTCACGAAAGCTTCAAATCTAGAATGTAATTATTGAAACCGAATGAATGCTTGGGAGCTTATTGGCTCTCGCTCCTGGTTAGAGATTAACCCAACCCACAGGTCCACAAAGAATGGCCACTCTCACCATGCAGATTTAACCTAGGAACTGAGTGTTCAACTTCACATTCTTGTCATTAAAGGCCTGTGACAAAGGTGCATCCATTGGAGCGACCAGAGTGGAGTCAGCTCCGGGAGAGGCAACCACCTCGCCCCACGCTGCTCCTCCACTTCGAGGTCTGCGGAGAACTTCGCCACCACCACCACCAGCGTGGCGATCTTCACGGCTGTGCTCACTGTGGTTCTGCTGCTCATGCAGCCGATGGTGGAACTCCTCGGAGGATCTCGGCGTGGGGGTTCGAACATCAACGGCTCCACCACCACCATAAACAACTACTCGGGACTCATGAAAGACGTCTCTCCACCGGCAGTGGTCGCCACCGGGGGACCGATGTTCACCAGCGGCCACGCAAACGTACAGGAGAGGGACGGCCCAGCCTGGCCCCCCGGGATGTCCTGGCTCATGGACAGCGCGCCGACTCCTCTCCTGCACGCTGCGGGTCAGCTGTGCAGTAGCCACAGTGAGGACATAGTGGACAGCGTGCTCCCTGCCCTAGTGCAGGCTATGGGTCAGCTGTGCAGTAGCCACAGTGAGGACATTGTGGACAGCGTGCTCCCTGCCCTGCCGCAGGCTATGGGTCAGGTGTGCAGTAGCCACAGTGAGGACATTGTGGACAGCGTGCTCCCTGCCCTACTGCAGGCTATGGGTCAGCTGTACAGCAGCTGCCAGGACATAGTGGACAGCGTGCTCCCTGCCCTAGTGCAGGCTATGGGTCAGCTGAGCGGCAGCTGCCAGGACATAGTGGACAGCGTGCTCCCTGCCCTGCCGCAGGTTATGGGTCAGCTGAGCGGCAGCTGCCAGGACATAGTGGACAGCGTGCTCCCTGCCCTGCTCAACGTCGTGCGTCAGCTGTACAGCGGGTGCAAGGAGGCCATCGGCTCCACCGTGCCGCTGAACACCCCGCACATCGCCGTGCGTCTCCGGCGTTTCGTACGTCGCAAAGTTGAGTGAGCAACATCCATCGTCGTCGTCATCATCATCAGCCACGGTCAATCCACTGGCGGGTAGAGACCTCCCCGTGCCGTCGCCACCTCCCACGATGCCGCTGTGCGGTGATCCACCCAGCGCCTGACACGTGGAGCGATTTCATTGCTTCGTCTCCCCACTGGGCATCCTCTCGGGTGACCCCCTCGCCGCCCATCGGCATCACTCGCCCCCTTCGCGCCCTCCACCGTCACCCTCAACTCCACCCGCAGTGGTTTCAACAGCCTGGTTGGGCACTGGAACGGTATCCCGGACAGTGCCGGATTAAACTCGTGCGGGTCCTGTGGCATATATTATAAAGGTGCCCAAAATAAAATAAAATAGCACAATTATTAAAACACAAAGTTTACACATCTACCGGGTCTCCACTTGACTTTGTATTGTCTAGGAGGAAGTCCACCCACACCTCCACTTCCACAAACTGCTGGGAGTTGCCTCGCTCTGCCTCACAGTCAGAATTCTCCTCCTGCTTCACATTGCCTCCATCGATGTGAAGGTCCCATTTTGGAGTTGAATCTTCATCTTCACATTTCACCTTCACTTCTTCCCTCTTCACCATCACTTCTTCCCTCTTCACCATCACCTCTTCATATTTCACCTCGATAACTTTAAAAGTGTCCACGCTGGGATTTTCTTCCGGTTCGTGTTTCATGAGGGATGGGCTCATGGTGGCACTTTTACTTTCACAAGCTGATTTCAGACTCCACTCCTTGTGGATCTTCTGATGCTTTTGTGTTTTCTGGTGTACTTGAAGATGTTGTTGCTGCGAAAACGCTCTCCCGCACGGAGTGCACCTGAAGGGTTTCTCTCCTGTGTGTATTCTCTGGTGTGTTACAAGAGTAGATGAATGTGCAAACGCCTTCCCACACACACTGCACTTGAAGGGTTTCTCTCCCGTGTGTGTTCTCTGGTGTTCTACAAGATTAGATGAATGTGCAAATGCCTTCCAACACACACTGCACTTGAAGGGTTTCTCTCCTGTGTGAGTTCTCTCGTGCCGTGTCATATCTCCAGTACGATCCGTGCTGTATGCACACCGGTCGCATTGGAGCCTTGTCCTACCGAGCTGCGCTGAGTGCCTTTGCTCCATCAGAACAATTCTGCGGAGGAAGCGTCAGAGGAAGCGTCAGCTGCAGACAGAAAAAAATAATATCCACACCATCTACACGACAGTATCGAGGCACAGAGGAATGCATATATAGTCACATGTGACTTACACGTCTATACTTATTCTTAGTTTTTTCGGTAAAGTCACGTTGAAGAGAAACAACAAAATAACAAAATATATATAAAACAATAAAAAATTCTCACGACGTTTCGACCATAACTCAAACGGTCATCATCAGGTGTGTCGGTTTGCATAAATTTATTTTTAAAACGGCACATTTATTTATTTATAAAAAACGTTAGCGTCACGCGCAGCGATTGGCAGTTTGCCCAGGACTAGTCCATCTATTTTTTTGAAAAGAGGAGGGGGGAGACGAAATTTTTTATAATGTATGCTGTCTGAAAGCCACTGTAAGCGTGAACAATCAATCAAGAACTGAAATGATTTATCAAATCTTTCCAATGATTGCTAAGATAGAATCCATCTTCTCGGTTGAAATTGTCTCTGTGCTTGTATATGTGGATAGCCTCATGAACGAATCTCTCATGGAAGCCAGATGGCTTACAAAGAACCTCCGTCTTGGAAAAGTCAATGGCATGTGAGCCTACTGAATTAGAACAATGATCTGCTATGGCCGAGGTGTTGGTCCTACCGTGTTTAAGGTCTGCTTTATGTTCACGAATGCGGTCCGAGACATGGCGTTTGGTTTCTCCAATGTAACTACTACCACAGAGGCAACTTAGTTTGTAGACACCAGGGTATTGTATGTCCGGAATCACATCTTTTACAGACGGAACCAGATCACGGATTTTATGTAATGTGTTGAAACGGACCTGGATCTTGTGTTTATTCAAGATTTTGGAGATCTTTTTTGTGATCCCAGCAATGTAGGGTAAAGTGATGGTTTTGAAAGGCTCCTCAAGAGGGTTCTTCTTCATGGTTTGAGTGATAGCTTTGCGGATTGTATAGTCGGAGTAACCATTAGCCCTAAGAGCTTGGTGTACGTGCTTGAGTTCACTGCTTATGTGTTCCTGGTCGGATATGCATTGGGCTCTATGATACAGAGTATTGATGAGAGAATTCTTATGTGATGGATGGTGGTGGGAATCCGGTTTCAGATAAGCATCCGTATGGGTAGCTTTCCTGTAGACAGAGTGGCTCATTGAACCATCAGGTCTCTTTTTAATTAGGACATCCAAAAAAGGTATCTTGCCATCTATTTCGACTTCCATGGTAAATCTGATGGCTGGGTGTATGGAATTGATGTGGTCGAAGAATTGGTCTAGAGCAGGCCGGCCATGTGGCCAGATGACAAAAGTGTCATCCACGTACCTCTTCCATAAGGTTGGGCGCAGAGTGGCAGTCTGGATGGCGTCAGTCTCAAATTTCTCCATGAAAATGTTAGCTATAACTGGAGAAAGGGGGGAGCCCATTGGGGTGCCCTCAGTTTGTTTGTAGAAAGTTCCATTCCAAGTGAAGTATGTATTGGTTAAACAGTGTCTCACCAGGGGGGGTACCTCAGTGTTTAGTCCTTGATGAACCAAGTCTTCAATGATTGCAATGGTGTCAGGTACAGGAACCTTGGTGAATAAGGAAACTACATCAAAACTGACAAGCAGGTCGTCTGGGGACAGGGAAATACCCTTGATTGTTGATACCAGGTGAGTAGAATTTTGTACCGCAGAGGTGGTCTTTCCAGTGAAAGGACGCAGGATTTCAGACAAAAAACGAGCTAGTTTGTAGGTGGGGGAGCTGATAGTAGAGACTATGGGACGAAGAGGTGTATCAACTTTATGTATTTTTGGTAAACCGTATAATCTTGGTGGCCTGGCAGCAGAAGGTTTCAACGAAAACTGTTTAGATTGATCAATTAATGCGGTTGAATCAGAAATAATTTTGTTGGTTTGTGTGACGAGGCTGTTGGTGGGATCTCTTTTTATTTTTGTATAACTACCATCGTCGAGTAATTCTTTAATTTTGTTGTTGTATTCTATTTTATCCATGATGACAGTAGCATTGCCTTTGTCAGCTGAGAGAACTACAATATCATTCCTCTTTTTTAATTTATATAATTCAAAACGCTCATCTTTGCTGAGGTTGCTAGCTGGCATCTTAGCGTTTTTGAGGGTTGCAGCGATTTCAGATCTTGCTACGTCTGCAGCGATGTGACCCAGGCCCCTGAGAGCAACGTCTACTTGGGCAATTATATCATTAACTGGTATGTGTTTAGGTGTGACTGCAAAGTTTAGACCTTTAGCTAAAACGGATTTCAGACCATCGGAAATAGAACTGTTACTGCGATTAATTACGACTTTATTAACGTCTAACTTTTTGGTGTGTGGGTCCGGTCTTTTGTTGAAGAGGAGGTTAAATTTGGAAATCAGGTTTTCCTTACATTTGGTCGACATAGTAGCAGCTGAAGAGGCAGTCATATTGTCTACATGTTCCCAATCCGATGTGGACATTATTGCCGTCAATGATAAGTGTGATTTGTAGAGTGTCTTGTCTAACTGATCTAGTTCTGTGCGTATAAGTCTGATTTTTTCTGAGATAAGAGCTAAGCTAGTTTTGAAAAGAATTCGTTTTGCATTAGAAGAAGTTACAGCAGCAGAGGTCAGTGTAAATGCGATTGGTATTACCCCAGAGTCGCGGCATCTCTTCAGGAAGGTGAGAGACTCGATCAGCTGAGCTTTCTTATCCCGGAGTTTGTTGAAGGATCTTAAAGTTATGTGAAAACCCTCCCCGTAGAGGCGATTAAATTTTGATTTAAAGCTTTCGTGACTGCAGTAATTCATATTCTTAGTTTTTTCGGTAAAGTCACGTTGAAGAGAAACAACAAAATAACAAAATATATATAAAACAATAAAAAATTATCACGACGTTTCGACCATAACTCAAACGGTCATCATCAGGTGTGTCGGTTTGCATAAATTTATTTTTAAAACGGCACATTTATTTATTTATAAAAAACGTTAGCGTCACGCGCAGCGATTGGCAGTTTGCCCAGGACTAGTCCATCTATTTTTTTGAAAAGAGGAGGGGGGAGACGAAATTTTTTATAATGTATGCTGTCTGAAAGCCACTGTAAGCGTGAACAATCAA